GTCACTATTATGTCAAGTGTTTCAGGATAAAGAAATATTATTTTTTCGTTTGCACAGTAAAGAGTATGAGCAAATTTAAAAAATGTAATGATATGTATTATATGCCAGATTTACGTCAGTTCAATTTTCAATTTTGGACTAGGGGCGACCCTAGTCCCAAAATTCAAACTAAGTGTTTTTGTTACTGACATAATTCTAACATAAATTAGGTACAACTTTTGAACTGTGTCGATAAAGGTCTCGGCCGTACTACACGCCCACGTGATTTTCATTTAGCAGGTGATTTCGCGAAGATGGTTCTTTGCTTCCGGGTTTCCGGTGATTTTTATGATCACATTTTAAACTTTACTCTTAAAATCAGCAAAAAATTTAAAATCAGCAAAAATTCAAAAATCAGCGAAAATTTAAAAAAAATCAGCGAAATTTAAAATCAGCGAAAATTGAAAATCAGCGAATTTTAAATCAGCGAAAATTAAAAATCAGCGAATTTCAAATTTATCAAGTTTACTTGATACAAAAATCAGCGAAAAGCCAAATCGGCGAAAAGCGGCTAACTTCCACGGAGTTCAGAAAGAGGAATCATCGGTTCCAGTCACAACAACAACTTCAGTCAAGCCAATATTTGTGCAATGCAGTCTCAAGGATGTGAGAAAATTAATTTCACTATTGAAATTGCAGGTTATGCCTGCATATAAAATTTCATCATCAAATACAACTCAAGTAATTGTCAAGTCTATTGAGGATAAGGCCTCAATAATAAACCTTCTGCGGTCTCAAACTATTCAATTCCACACCTTCTCCGAGAAATCGGAGAAAACAAAGTCATTCGTTCTGAAAGGATTTTACGAAACACCAACGAATGAAGTACTAAGATTACTTCAAGAAGCCAAGGTTTCAGCTGTCAAAGTGACAATTCTCGTCAAGAAGCCCGAGTTCACCTTTTATCTTGTGCATTTTCAAGATGAAAGTGTGAACATCAACGTGCTTAATCATAACCACCGTAACATCGACAACATCATCGTCAAGTGGGAGAACATCAAGAAGGGCAACAAAAGCCCAACGCAGTGCTTCAACTGCCAACGTTGGGGTCACTCATCTCAAAATTGTGGATATAAATTCCGATGCGTCAAGTGCACGGAAGTTCACGGACCAAATCAATGTCAACGATCCACTCGTGATGGAAATGCCAAGTGCATTAATTGCAATGGCGATCATGCTGCCAGTTATAGACTGTGCCCATCGTTCATTTCGTATTCCAAAAGAATCGAAAAGTCAAGAGCCAAACCACAACTCAAAATGCTGCCACAGATATCAAGTCTTTTGGACAGTAACAATTTTCCATCGTTAAGCAAACGACATCAAGTTTCTGCTCATTCACATCCAGTGAATGCTGCAAGTAACTCATCAGCAACATTTAAAGAAGAGATTAATCAGCAACAACTGATCAATAATATCAGTTATGCAGAGAAACTCAACGAAGCAGTAAAGAATGAAAGCCTTTTCAAGAAATTCACAGAAGCTCAAGAACGTCTAAAGAGAATCCCCAACATTGAAGAAGCAATAAATCAGTTCTGCAGTTTCGTAGACGAAGCCGGAAAGATCCCAAAGGATGCACCTCAAGGAACTGCATTTAAAATCATGGTGAAGTATGGCTTCATGAGCTGCCCACCAGCACCGAACAAGCCAGTTCAAAAATAATTTATTAACGTAGTTCATAAGCTTAAAAAAAAAGCTTTTTTTTTTTTTTTTTTTTTTTTCTCGCTCGGCAACTTTTTTTAAACTTTTTATGCCACATTTTAATGATATATGTAAATCTCACTCATCAAAATTAATAATTAATCAAGATATAGTTGAATTAAAGCCATATTCAGGCTGGTGTCAAAATAAGACTCAAAGAAATGTAACTTAAACTACAATAATTCCAAATTTGAAATAAAGAAAGATTTAGATTTATATAGCACAAAAAAAATAACTCCCAAAAGCTTGTCTCATAAAACATTCTTTCATTCTTCTCGCTGCTGTTTTTTGGCAACAAAAAAAAGGAATAATTTAAAATTCATACGAAAACGTGCGTATGAAAATTTGATACATCTCCACGCGAGTCGACGTATTATATTGGAATAAATCGAGAAACTCATATCGAACATGGAGAATTGGCAGAGCTTGAATGAATGAGAAAACATGTCAATTGCAAATGATATGTTGTGACAGAACGAGAAGCATTGAGGGATATTGAATCGTTATGACAATTTGCATTGAGCGTTGTGATGCCACTGAGTCCGTCGATACGTCGAAAATCATAACAAATGGACATCATTTGTATTATTTTTGTGTTGTCGTCTGTTGTTTTGGATGTAGGCGAACATAGTCGGATGGAGAGGAATGAAAGCTCACAGATTGGAAGTGGGAATAGTTGTTGAGTTCGGAAGTAATTGTTGACTGTGGGTTTAGAGCGCATTTTAAGATCTTATGTTGGAATGGGTTAGAAAATGGTGGTTCAGGTGTCTAGCTAACCTTAAATTGAATGTGGTCATGCATGCCAGATTTAATTATTTTACGATTCTTGTACGTTTAGTTCCTTAGACAAACTTAATCATAAACTCATCATGAGTTGAAAAACTTCTGTGCAAGAACTCCAGTTCTGCGTATCATAGCAATTTTGAATTAAATTTTTTTTATGTCCTGCCACCGCTTCTAGCCGCTTCTTTGACTATTGAAATCTCAGAATTTATTTTTTTGATGTCAATTTTATGTTTGCACGACTGAACTGTGCAAAATCAACGATCATGGTAGAAATTGAAAAGTAATTGAATGTTCAAAAAATCTCCATGGACAGTTATTAAAAAATGTGTTTTTTTTTGCGACGGAAAAAACTCAAAAATATTGGCAAATTTTGTTTGATGTTTGAATTTTAATTGATGGCTTTTTCGGGATGAGGTTCAATTATTTTTGGGACTTTGAAATGATCTACAAATATGAAAACTGTTCACTTTTGAGGTTTGGATTTGTTAAGCTTACTTGCTAATTGGTATTGGAAATCTTTAGAGATTTGAGGATTTTTTGGGGCTCATTTTTCTTTTTAAAAACATATTTTTTTATCAAAAAAATTTAAATTTTTAATTTTAAATGAAAAAGTAAATTTTTATGGCTGCAATTTTAATTTTACCATCAAATTTTATTTCGTTTTCATCGTATTTATAATTCAAAGTACAGTCCTCCATTTTTTAATTTCACATTTTATATTTACGCATTTTCAAGGATTCATTTAATTAAAATAGAGGAACAAAATCATCAAACGAAATTATTTGTGCTTGTGTAAGTAAAGCATTCAATCACAAATCATAGCAAGGAAGGTCTGAAAAATCACGCAATTGAACATTTTTTTCTCTGATTTCTCTTTTTGTTTTCAAGTATCTCATTTTCATACTTTTTGTATTTTATTATTTAGTCACGTGTTTGTAATATTATTAAAATTTTAATGCAATGGATGGTTCTTGGTTCCTAATAATCTTCTAAAATTATTTTATATTTATAGAAAATTTTTGAAACATTTTAGACATTTTTAAATTCAAAATAATTCAGCTAATTTGAACTTCTTTAATTCAGCTATGCTGAACTTGTTCAATTCAGCTATGCTGAACTTGTTCAATTCAGCTTAGCTGAACTTATTTGATTCAGCAATGCTGAACTTGTTCATTTCAGCAATGCTAAAATTGCTGTGCTTGTTCCATTCAGCAAAGAAGAAGTTCTTCAATTCAGCTGTACTGAAGTTATTCAATTCAGCTAAGTTAAACTTGCTGAAATTGCTCAATTTAGCTGTGCTGAACTTGCTGAATTAAATTTTTTTTTTAAAAAGTTATCATTCCTTGAACTCCTGTCCTTATTATTTCCTCTCTTTCAACACACTACGCTTATTATGATAAATAAAAAAAAAAATAAAAAAAAACTGTAAACATCTTGAATTACATTTACGCCTATGCACGCGTAATGACTTATGCAAAAAAAAATAATGTGAAAACACACACAGTGATCCCTCATAATTCCAAACAACAAAAAAAAATACCATCATTCGGCTAACAATGGAAAGAAGGGAGTGAAAAGGAAAGATATTGTTTAAAGCACTGCAATGCGTGCAGTATGTAGTTATGTGTCGAGTGGATGTGTATAATGCATTTCTAGGGGTTCATTAAGAGGAAATAATAAATGCTGTTACTACGTAATTAACAAAAAAGCGAAAGAGCAAGGGATAGATGTAGTTTAAAAAACCGACGGGAAAGTGAAATGGAAAGAATGTAAAATTCATGTAAAGGATTTTGTATTTTGAAATTAAAAAGTAGTGAGAAATGCAAGCAATTGCCGTATTGTTGGAAACAGCAAGCATTTTTTGAAATTCTTCTTAGTTTACTGAATTCAACAAATTTTACTCGGTATTGCTTAATTAAGCCAGTTAAGCTCAGTTTGCTGAATTCAGCAAATCAGCTTAATTTGCTGAATTCAGCAAATCAGCTCAGTTTGATGAATTTAGCAAATATAGATCAAGTTGGACAATTAGCCAAAATATTCTCATAAGATCAAAACAAACTCAAATCAGCCATCAAAACATAAAGAAGCACATTATTCATATGCGTTATAATAAATACAGCAGCGGTATTAATAACTTCGAGGGATAAAAAAAATATGAAAATGCACTTGATGGGATTCAATGCGTACATTTGTGTACATAAAATACATGTCTGTGTATGTAACCAAGTGCCTCACATGAAGTGTAAAAATCATTAACGTAAACGAAAGGGAAAAAATTGCATTGCGGAAAAATAAGAGATTTTGCAATTTTTTTAACTAAAAAGAGGAGGATGGAAAAAAATTGGTAGTGTAGCGGTGTGGGTTGGGGATACAAAATTCTTTAATCATGAAAGTTCATTGACACTTAATGGTTTGAATATGACTCAATATTTTAAATAATATCTAATAAATGTTTCGAATTTTTAATTCCATTTCAGATTTCGAATAGACAACAACGATCATGTGATTGACGTAAATCGTGGTAATTTAAAATTCGAATACGATTTAGTGCACATAATATGTCCATATTATGAGGCTGGTACGAATGAGAATGAGACGGAGCGATACATCATTTACAATGTGTCGAAAGTTGAGTATGAGACGTGTCGTATAACGAATCCAAATCCACGCATTATAGCTATTTGTGATAAACCATTTACATTAACACTTGTGACGATCTCATTCCGACCATTTACACCGCAGCCCGGTGGATTAGAGTTTAAGCCCGGAAATGATTATTATTTTATATGTGAGTATTGCAATTTACTGCATCTGTGGCTATTTATTGATAGATTTTCTGTGAAATTCATTTGCATTTGCTCAATATTTTAATTATTTGCAATAACATTTGATGAATTCTGTTCAAAAATGTGAATTTTAATTGAATTCAGAAGTGCTGAACTGAACAAATTAAATTTAGTGTGCTGAACTTACTGAATTCAACTGTGATAAACTAGCTGAATTCAGCTGTACTAAACTAGCTGAATTCAGCAGTGCTTAACTAGCTGAATTTAGCTGTGCTGAACCAGCTGAATTTAGAATTTTCTGAACTAGTTGAATTCAGAATTTGCTGAACTAGATGAATTCAGCTGTGCTGAACTAGCTGAATTCAGCAGTGCTGAACTATCTAAATTGAGTTGTATAGAACTTGCTGAATTTCCAAAAAGTAATCAAATGTTTCTCAATTTTTTCAGCAACATCATCAAAAGACGACATTCATAGACGCATAGGCGGTCGCTGTACAACAAATAATACCAAAGTGATATTCAAAGTTTTTGGTGGTGAGGAGACTCAAAGGACGACAGTGGCACCATCAGTAAATGAGAAACCGCCACCATTTAATGACTGGAAGCATCACGAGGACTCCAGTGATAGTACAAATAGTGAGAATGACGAGTCAAATAAAATAAATTACAACCATGACTTTGGTCACGGATTTCATGCAACGCAACGTCCATTTTTCGTCAATAGTAATAATAATGTTAACAATAATGATAATTTTAATAATATTAGTGGAAGTAAGCCACCGAAAAAGACTAGTAAGTATCGTTTTTGGTTTGACCGATTGTGTCATAATATTTATTTTTTTAAAAACCCTCACAAAATTTATCGTTTTTCTTTTTTGTTTTTCATCAATCCACAGACGAACACGATACCCGTCAAAATGAAGTAGTTAAGAACGAAGAGCTGACATACAATAATGCCACATCGAGATCAAATTACGCCCTAAGTGCCGCCCTTAGTTGTCTCATCATCATACTCATGCGAAATGGACGAAGCACGTGAAATTCTATATAGTTATTTACAGTATAGCATTATATGACATATATTATATTAAATATATTTAAAAAAAATTGTGAAGCGAAAGGAAAAAAAGTTCTTTAAGAATGAAATTTTAGGAATTTTCTTTATGTTTGTGTGAGGAAAAAAATGTTTTTATTTATTTTTGTTTTTTTCTGATTTTTTGAAAAAGAAGTAAAAATTCTTTTTTTGTTGAAAAGTTTTTGTAAAAAAAATGTGAATGAATGAGTGGAGGTTGATGACCCTTCGACGGTCGATACTTTCATGCTTACAATTGAGACTTTTTTTAAATTATTTATTTAGATAAATTCAAAATTAATTTGTAAATTTATTAATGTGCATTCCATAACTCAATGTGGAAGTTGAAAACTCACTGACAATTTCCATTTGATTGTACCGCGTGGAAGTTTATGACCAACAAAAAAAATTTATCATTATTTAAAAACGCTTTTTAGTTCAATAATTAATTAAGTTGTGCTTAATAACCGATAATTTTTGCAACAATAGTCTCTTTAATTTAAGAAAATAAATCAGAATTTCACTGCGTGGAAGTTCAACAATTACATTCTTCTCATAAAAACAATAGATTAATTATAATTAATTAATTAACATTTAAGACAATCCAATTATTTTAAAACCTACAAATCCGAATTAGAAGCCATTTAAATAATTTCAAAGACTATCCGACATCAAAATAAAATTTACTTGTGTGAAGTTAGCAATAATTTACAGATTTTTTTACATGCACATCATTTTACAATAGGCGAGAATAATCAAAAAACTGAATTTATTTGACTATTTTTCATACTCTCAGTTATTCAATAATCAATTTGTTTCAATTTTTAATTGGGATTTTGCTTTGAAAATTGAAGTTTTTAACTTTTAAAATTTAAAAATTTCAAATCTTACTTAAAATTTTAGTTGCAAATTCTTCAATTTCCAATACAAAAATCCAATTTAAAAAAAAAAACAAAAAAAAATAATTTAAAATTTTACAATAGCATTAAAAAAGAAAATTAAACAAAATGAAAATCATAATCAATTATAAAGAAAAAAAAATCAACAATAGTAAATAAGTCAATTCACAATATTTTTTTCATTTTAATTCACAATTTTCAATTCTAATTTAAAACACAAAACAATTATTCTCTTTTAATTTTAAAATAACAATAAAACAAATTTTCAACAATAGTTTGCAATAGAATTAAAAAAACATTTAAAGTCAATAGAATTTTACAGTTAAGAACGAATTTTAATCATTTATCAGCTTTCATGTCCACAAAATGGAAAAAAAAGATCAAAGAATTTTTAATTTGCAATAGAAAATGGAAAATTTTAATTTTTAATCAAAACTTTTGCAGTAAATGTTCAATAGAACTAAAAACGAGAAGCCGAACCTGAATGTTTATAAATGTCAAAATGATGTGTAGAAAATGGAAAAATAATTCCCTCCAAATATGAAATGAACCCCAATCGACAGACTCACAAACACATGTATTCAAATAGTTCAATAGAAAGGCACCCAACAATGTACACACACACACACACACACACAGACACATAAATTGCACATGAAACCATTTAAAATGCATAGAATGGACGCTTTGAGGACAATGTTGTGAAAATTTTATTCCACATTTGAAATTTTGTGGCCAAAAATGAAGCTTTAGAAATAAATTTTGCAATTTTTGATTTTATTTGATGAATTAAATTATTCAAAAGTTGATCAAAGAGGACAGATTTTTTGTGCAAATTTTGTTTGGCTCCATAAAAGGTTTTAATAAACAATCAGCAGTGGTTTATCAATTGGCAGTCGATCTCTTTTTTTATTGTAAAATTTTATATAATTGCAATTTTAATTCTTAAATTTTACCGAGCTTTGCATAGGGTTACCATCTAATTTTTATGAAAATACAGGACTTTTGGTAAATTTTTTCGAAAAATACAGGACATAGAGTAAAATTCGAAAATTAACGGAAATTTTCGTGAAAAAAATACAGGACCTGGAACAAAGTTTTCAAATTTATACAGGACAGGGTTTTGAAATACAGGACTGTCCGTTGTAAAACTACGCAGATGGTCACCCTAGCTTTGCATCAATTGCAATGTTGCGGTTGATTTGGATCAAAACCTCCGAAGTATGACATTCGTTAAGATCTTAAAATCATTAGTTGAACATTACAAAAGGTTTGGGATATTTAAATTTAAGTCATAAGAACAACCAGCAGCCATAGACGGATTCTTATATCTCTGCACAGTTTTAACATCAACATAACGACTGTTAAGCAGAGCTCGAAATCGATGATATTTTGGATGGATTCAAGTCAACTCCGAGTCGACTCCACCATACAAAACCGATGAAAATCTTGAGTCAACTTCGAGCTCTGCTGATCAGACATCCCTCTGACATACAAGAAAGATCTCTGGTTTTTATAAAAAAGCAATCACACAGTTTTAGTGTGGTTTTTAAGACCACTTACTTTTAACCATGACTGTAAATGTGTTTTAATATGTGTCTGAAGTAGCAAGCAATGATGCTTAATTATTAAGAACTATGAATTGAATTACAAGAGTTAAGCAAGACAAAAGAAGAAACTTAAGAAAAGATTTGGATAAGAAAACTAAGTCTTAATCGGAACATGGGACTTTGAACAATTAAGCGAGATCATTCAGTCAAAAAATGCGCAGTTGATTAAAGTGCAGATTTCTTCTACACACCTTAGAAACTAGACCCTTTAGCTCTGATATTGCCTCAAAGGATCCAACTTCTATGCAACATAAAAAACACAAAACAATCCATTAACATAAACTTCAATAACAATAGTAATTAAATGTACAATTTTTTATGATTAAATGAGAACAAATAATATTTAAAAAAACACGAAATAAACTAAATATGAAATGTTGGCCTACAATTTTTAATAAATTCAAATTGATTTCAATCCAGAAATTTTAATTCAATATTGCAAAAATAATTATTTTTATTTTAATGAAATTAAACTCAAAAATATTGTTTTTATCAAAAGTTTTATTTAAAAATTTTAGTCAATTACAAAAACTATTCAAAAAACGACAAAGATTTTAGTTTTCAAATTTCTGAATCCTTCAATTTCAATTTTTTGACAAACATTTAATTTGAATTTCAATAAATTATTCAATTTGATAATTTATAAAAAAATGTTAAATTTATAAAATTTTGAAAAAAGTAAAATTTGATTAAAACACATTTAGTCAGTCAGAGAATTTATAATAAAAACTTTGGTCGAATGAAACTGAAAAGTAAAAATATAATATTTATGTGAAATTTAGAAAAAAAAACATTTCAAATTTCAAACATGGCCTGGAAAATTATTTGAAAAAAATTGAAATTTGAAAAGATAGTAAAAATACGTAAAAAAATTCAAATTTTCTAGAAATTAAAATGAAATCGTGATGTTTTAGGAAATTTAAGAAATTAATAAAAAAATGTGTAAAAAAGTTTAAGACGCGATCCTTCGAGATATAAAAATGAAGAAAATATTTGTAAATGAAAATTTTTATTGAAAAAAAAAGATTTTTTGATGATACGATAAAAAGATGATAATAAATGGAAATGCTATGTAAGAAAAAAATAAGAAAATATGTCTATTGACAATTGAGAAAATTTATTATTAAATAAATATGAGAAATGGAGATAAAAATGTGTGTGAGATAAAAAAACAGTGAAATGATAGATGAAAGTCAATAAAAAAAATTATGGAAAATTTTAAAATAAATTTTGAGTTTTTTAATATTATTTTAATATTTTAAATTACAATTTTCATAATTTTTTTGTTTTATTTTAAAGCTTTAAGTTAAAAAACTTTTAAATTTTTTTTTTAAGTTTTTTAAAAATTTCAGCATATGATAAAATTTAAATTCTAAGAATTGTGACTTTAATATCGATTGTAACCCAAATACTTTAATTTCAGGATTTTTAAACTTCCTTTTAACACTGGTTTAAACTCATCAACCATAAAACTTTTCCATTTTCTCTTAATTCCTTCCCACACTGCACAATTTTCATCACATAAATAAATGGTGACTTAATCCAGCCTCAAAGCACTTTTTGTTTCTTTCACTTTTTTGAATGATATTTAACTAATCAACGCATACACATGCACATGCATTCATGGCTGCAGTAATTTCATCCTCTTTTGAAGCCGAGAAAAGCCTTGCATATCATTAACACAGAAACAAAGACAACCCCGTGTATGTCATTCAGTTCCTTTATGCACATTTTTTTCCATTGAATTGAGTGTAATACATGCAGGAAACTGCAGCAGGGCTGTTGGTGGTAATTATGAGTCTTTAGCAATGGTTTGTCTATGGCATGCTATTCAGGATGGTGAACTGAACCTCTTGGATTAATTATTGGAAGTATTTCTAAGTTTAACTGAATTTTGACTTACTAGAAGTGCACTATATCAAAAATTTGACTTATTTCAACCTAGAACCTTGCTTGATCCTTAAAATAGAAGATTTTTTATTTGCAGACGTTATGCCTTCATAGACACAGCTTAAAGCTGCTTTACAATAGAGCTTTTAAGTTGATACCTCCTCTGAACCTTCTACCTCATCCATCCTCTTAACTTCGCCTAATACCTTCTCACATTCAACACCAACATCTCTTACTTCCTTCACACTTTAATGGTTGCATTCTTCTCTCTCCCATCTTTAATGAATTCACTCCTCTTGGCTTCCATATTTGATGCATACATTCTATGACGTTACATAATAATGCGTGCATGTAAGTGCATTGAGTACACATCCGTTAATATGTGTGTACATGTGGGAAGTGCTGAAAGACCAAAGAAGAAGTCAAAAGAATTTTTTTTTTATACATAATAAGAAATGAATGGAACTGCATGGTGCAATAAACTCGACAGATGTGTAAAAAGAAAAGGGACTTTGGGGGTTAAAGATTGAAATTTTCCGAATTTTTTCAACGGTGTTCATCTGAAGCTGGTTCTTAAGTTCTACTCTAGTTGACATGTGAATACTAATATGCTCGAGAAATCAGCCAGTCAAGCATTAATTGGAATTGTTCAAGAGATGAGAAGCTAGATATCCTTATTAAAAGGAATTGCAGATTTTTGTCGTCAACTTTTAATCTTATAGGAGACCCAGGAACCTAAGATTTTGTCTCTTTGACTTCGTCGATAGTTAGTCTGACTTTCAGTTTTGTAACACTACTTTGAGTGTATCTTTTGCTTAAATCTTTGGAACAGCCTTAAGCCTTTGACGAAAGGTTCAATTAAAAAAAGGTGAAGCGTGGAAAGCGCTCAGCCTTTTGAGCAGGAGGCACTGCAATTCAAATTAGAACAGAATCAACTATATCACACCCTTTAGACCTACAGATAACAGTGGAATCCGAACTACTTGCAAGCTCTGCACATTGCAAAGACACGAGTAAGTCTAAAGACCAGATGTAACCTGCAATGTACCGTTTGCGCAAGATGCTGTAAAAAAATCATCATCATCCAGATGCCAGTATATCATAGTATCGCTAGCAAATGAAACACGTTATGTACCAAAGACCTTAAAACTACACCCAACACATGAACCGAGCTTCGTTACTAGAACGGTGAAATGGAAAAAGGGCTTTTGAAACTAGAATGTGCCTGGAATCGAACCCAGTTAAGGCTAACGCTCTATCGATTAGGCTAATGATGCCGTTTCACTGCTTAAGGATCAATTAACATGTATTTTTTTGTAATAGAACTACGATGCACCTATACTAAGTGTTGTGAAACTTTTCAAATTTACCTCCTGTATAAAATGCTTTCCAGAAGATATGGAATAAATTAGTTTGGTTCCAGAGCTCAAAGTGAATTTTATCCTCGACTCCATTCAAATTCTAAATTGACTCCGAGCACTATCTTCCTCTATCTCCTCCCGACTAAGACCCCTAACCTCAACAACATACACATTTATTTTCTGCATATGCAGTTTTTTTTTTGCAGTGACGCATGAATTCATTTCCTCTTCTTCCTTCTTTATTATTATTATTGTTCAATGAAATTCAATACAAAAAAAATAAAACTCCTGTCGAGGGAGAAGCACTAAGAAAAAAAAGATGAATGAAAGTGCATAAAACAAAGTAAAAATAATGATGGGACATGAAGAGTAAAGAAAATAATAATGGAAGTGAATAGAATATAAAAAATAAAGTAGGAAAGTAAAAAAAAAAATGTCGATTTAATGATGGCTTCCATGTCACCATTGTGTATGTGTGTACAACAATGGATAAATGGTGATTTTAAGGAGTGGTTGGAATTGAATTTTTTTATCATTCTTGATGTCTGATGTCCTTGGTACCCTCTGGATACTGAATTTTAACCTAAATCGATGCAATCTTGTGAGAAAAATTCAATAAATTCCTTCCTAGAATTCATTCAATAAAACATTTTGCCTAACGAAGTCACTTAAAATGCTCCAAAAAAGTCCTCGGCAATCATAAATAAAAATACAATAAAAAAATGTTAAAAAGCAATAAAAAAAAATCCTCTTACATTCGCATCGATAAGTCAACAATTGTCTACAAAAAATAAAATTTCTTGTTATTTTCTGATGCTTTCCGCAGAAAGGTACAGAACTGAAAATCACTCGAGGCACAAGAGGTCAACAAAAAAAATATTTTATTAAAAATATTATAGGGGAAACTGAGTTGTTTGAGACATTTTTTTTATGAATATTGATTTCGATGTCTTTTTCATTAAAAAGTTTTATTTTGTCATTTATTGCTGTAAGATTTGTTTGGATGATTTGAGATGGTTTTGAGAGTTGTTATTGAACTTTAATGATTTCAAAAATTATGTTTTATTTTTTTTTCGCCTTTTTTTACTTTTTATATTGCAGTTCGGGTTAGATTCTTGCAGTTTCTAACAATTTTATTTCATTTTGTTAAATTTCAAGTTTTTTTGACAGTTTTGAAATACTTTTTAGCAGTGTAGTTATATTTCTAGCAGTTTAGGCACAATTCTAGCAGTTTTGGCACAATTCATATTTCTAGAAATCAGACTCCCGCCATTCCATTTTCGAAAACTTCGAAATTACTTCGAAATTAATTTCGAAGTTTTCGAAATAGTTCAAATATTTTTTTTCCGTTATGCATAATGTAAACAAATAAATTCCTTGAGACATTTTAAACAATAAAATCACTTAAAAAGTAATTAATAAATACAAAAATGAGCAAGTGCACAGTCTTTAATTGTGAAAACAAACGAAAGGATGGAAAAGCATTATTTCGAATGCTTTTAAAACCTTCTCCAATATTTTTTTCATTTTGCTACAAAATTGAATTTAATTATCGACAATGTGATTCAGTTGATAGAAACCACTCCGCATCCCAAATTAAATCATCCTTTAAAGCAGCAGTGAAAGAAATTCCAACTAGTTTTAAACACTGCATTTTGATATTTGAAGACTTTTTAAAGGATTTTTTAAATTTTAGATTGAAATTGTCTCATCAGAAACGTTTTTTAAATCGAAAGGAGCTGTTTGCATCAAAGTTTAAATGAATAATCTGATTTAGCTTTCCTTGATTTTAACTGTAATTTTGTTTTTGAATTCAAACGGTCATTTTTTTTTGAATCATACCAAATTTTTTTTGTCCATTTTTCAAAAAATAACGGTCGTTTTCGGAATGGCGGTAGTCTGCTAGAAATATTAAACAGTTTCAAGCATTTTTGATCAATGTACAGCTATTTGTGGATATTTGTAAGCAGCTTTGAACAGTTTCTAGCAGATTTGAAATATTTCCAGCTGTCAAGCTCAGTTTCAAGCATTTTTTCAATTCTAAATTCAACATTTGAAGCCAAAAAGCTCCCTTTTGAAGACTCTTTTACATCCCCTATCCACACTCCACCTCCATCCATAAGACGTCATCACTTCACATCATTTCATCCCCCTTTTCTAAATTTTTTGATGACAGCAATAACGACAACAATAATCATTTAAATTCAATCACTTTTTAAATTCGTAATTCGTGAAAAATAAAGTAACAGGATAAATACAGTTGATATTCACAAGAGGGATAGGAGGAAGTAAAGTCGTTATTGCTCACGTAGGCACAATTTCTATTTAGAATTTTTTTTTCATTCATTTCCTCTTTTTCTGCTAACAAATTTCCTACAACTTGTTTTTTTCTAGAGCAACAAAAATCATTACAAATTGATGAAAATTTGAATTTTTTATATAGTTGCTGGGTTTTGTTGCTGCTTTGAGCTTGTTTTGAGCTAGAATGAGATTGAAATGATACTTTTGAATTACTTTTTGGCTTCATTTATCTCAGATGTTAAGATCACCGTCAAAGATTCCGAAATCAAGAGTGAATCAATTTAGCAATCTGGGCTGCAGCTAGCGTGTTTTGTGAGTTTTTCGCTAAATCTAGTCACTCCAAAGATCAGTCATCTAAATCTCCTTCAGTACTGACTTCATAATCGCAAATCTACTCCATTCTCATCATCATAATAAATACAACAGATAATAATCTCAACTTCAAGCCTTTCCTTACGACTAAGACTTAATTTAAACATTTTCTTTTTCTTCCTCGCTCCAACTAGATTTTCAGAATTAGATTCTTGATGTATCATAAAGATCATACAAATATTGTTGATGCTAGCATAGGAAAACATAAGGCAGAGAATAAAATTTTCTGTAAGACGTACTAAAAAGCAGCAATAATAGTCAGAAGAGGGAAAATAATATAAAATAAGGAA